ATGAAATGTTTCTAAGTTTTGTTGAGGATTATTCTGTAAAGAAATTGCTTAAATTATTTCATCTGTTCGTAAACGGGACGTTGTTGCTTTGACGGTGGGCTACGGACGACTGACGTCATTCAGATCGGATGGCGCCCTCTCGTGCCAATCCCCCCCCCCTGGCTACAGGCGGCCTTCGCTGGTTCTCGGCGTCCTTTGCGAATGGCAGGTAGGACGCAGGTAACTAGTAATCGCCATATTGTTCCATTTGGGCCGGTTTTCCGGCCGGAAGGAACGCGACTGGGTGACGTAATTTGAAAACATTCCAAGTTCCGTTTTGCGTAAACGTGTCTGTAATGCTACAATAAAGCCATGCTCATACATACATACTGCCTGCTTAGATTTACAGATTTGATATGTTCTGTGCAAATTTATAACAAAAGAAACAATTCTTTTTATTCGCCCAACTTTCGAAAGCAAAAGGAAACCCCTGAACGGCCACGAGCGTAAGCGCTGACGTCAGGTAACTAAGGGAAATGGAACAAGCAACGAGAAAGTGGTGTACCAATCAGAATGCCGGAACCGTTACTAGTTACCGGCCTCTTGTGGCTTGGTACGCCATGACACTTGAGGCGGGAACCAGCCAACAGGCGGCCTTCAATTTTGTGGTCAATAACCTCACTACGCACGGCCATTTTTTCCGCGGTTGTTTCATTTGAAACCGAACTACAAAAGTGGGAAAAAACGTATGTGACATCCGAACTATTTATTAATGTCAGACTTCAGTAAAAACGTAAATACGAACCATTTTATCACGGACTATGTTTTGCAAGGTAATGTTACTGTAGTGGAATGGCGCACGTGATACACTAAAGCTGGGGAGAAAAAACGTATAGTTGGGAAACTTAAGAAAGACTAATTTAACTGAAAGGAGTTTCCTAATATTTCCGTTCATCTTGTATTCTGGTGAATATTTCAATACTATTTCTGGCTTGAACGAGTTCGATTTTGTGCGTCTAACAGCCATAGAACACATAGGTTCTAGTAAGTTTATAAAGTTAGTCATTTATAGTAGAAACTAATGCTTTGTCATGTAGGAAAGGATTGTACTTTTCTAACGCAAGTCATGTAAATTTTAATCTAATTAACTGAACATTTTAGTCGGACGTGAAACGTCTTATTAAAGTGATTAAAGTAACCAAGTCACTTACGCATAACTTTTGTGGCTGCCGTTGCCCGAGCAACCTAAACGTTGCTGCGTTTCCGCACTTTGTTTAGCCTCGTTCATTTGTCGGCGTGCTATGTACACGTGAAAGACGTCTTCTTCCGGATTATACTACAGGTTATACTAATAGGTACTGTAGTTTTGTTGTTTAGACTTGTTCCTGATTCTTTTAGTGCTTTCACTCGTTTATTTGTCTCAAGGCAGTTTTGGTGTTGTGCGCTCTCTGTACGAGGATGGTGGCAGTCGCCATTTTTCGCTTTCACTGGAAGTGAAACGCTAGTTTCACTGCATCTAGTTTTCGTCTTTTCGCTGCCCAAGTAGCGTTTATGCTGCCAACGAGGTAGGTAACGTTTGAGGAGTTACTAGAGAATTATTTGAGAAGACTTTTGTTATGTTTAGACTTATTTTGGAAGTCCTATCGATTTAGTTGATTTATCGTTGTCGTAGTTTACATGCCGAGTCGCCGTCAGTCGTGTAGTTGAGTTTACACTCATGTAGTTGAGTTGACACTCATCTAAAATTCTCAGTCGTTTTCTATACGATTATGCAAGTCACATTCCATGTACAGTTTGTATTCTATTCGTATAATCTCAGATTCATGTACAACTTTACCATTTGTTGTGTGTACGTGTACGATAGATACGCAAGTTCATGTTATTATTTTCTGAACGTATACTCTTGTATTTCACAGTTTTGACGGTGTTACAATCTTCTCAATATTGTTCGTTATAAATAAAGTGAAGGTTACATCAGTATTTTGCGTTGGTTACTGGGGCAGCTACAACTTTAATAACTTTAACCGACAGGGTCTTGTAGTTCGAATATAATCGAATATGCAAATAAGTTCTGTGCAAAGCTGCTTTGAGCAGTGATGATAAGTAATGCGTATCGAACTGTGCGGAGTTCGCCCCGAGGATTGACCTTTTCCGACATTCTCCGTCGCAGCGACTATGGGTCTTTTATCGCTAAGCTAGGTAGTCGCCAAGGAACGTCCCACTAGTCGCTGCCACAAGCTAATTTAAATACTAATGACCGGACCTACTTTTTGCTTTGCCACGAGTGCATTCACGTCGCTTCCTGGGGGTGCCCCAAGCGACGTGGCAGGAAGTAGATGTATTTGTCCGTTGCTATGCGAACAAAACTCGTATAAAATTTATTTTGAAATCACGCCCACTAGAATTTTTTGTTTGAGAAAATTACCTAAACACCTTTTACCTATCGATTTCGTAGTTCGCTATCTTTTTCCCAAAGTCGCCCAGCTGTGACGTCACGTAGCAGTCGAAAGAAAACTGGGCGGGCGCGAGACGCCCGCGTCACCCCGAGGCAACGACGCGAACGCACCGACGATTCACATCTACGTCTCCTACCGCATAATCTACTTTTTCATTATTTTAACATTTTGAAAAAAAATAACCACTGAATGTAACAATATTTGATATATTTATTTAAAATAACACACATTTTTTTCAACAGAAGCTTAGGATATTATAAACATATGAATTTAAAAAAATCGCGGAATACCAACAATTTTGGTGTAAAATGTCACCTGTGGCAGAGTCTAGTTGCGGCTCTCTGTGGTTCCCTAGGTCACGAAGACTCTGCAAGGGAGAGTGTTTTTCCGAGTTACTTTCAAACGTTCCATTCTGTCGTGTGAGGGTGCTGTA